GGGACACCAAAACAAAATGCAAAAAGTCTTTGTGGCTATGTTAAAAATGAAAGAACATTTCAAACCATCATGAGAAGAAACTACTCATTATTCAATATAGATATAAAGAAGGATAAAAATATCTCTATATGCATTAACTGTGTTTAAAAGAATATGCAGTCATTCTTTCAATTGTTTGTTTCAAACTAGTTCTATAAATAAACAAATAAATACAGTACAATAAAATAGCCTATTTATCCTAAGGACAAGAAGAAAGGCTGAAAGGAGGTTTTTTTCCTCAATTTTTTGCTGCTGTCTGATATTACAAAAGCTGCAACAAACCGGTAAGCATGACCATTAAAACCTTTACCTAATAACTTCTTTATTTTGCTTTTTGGATTTCTTGGTAGTCTCTGCTTGTACAGGAACAACTTCAGGAACAGGTTCCTCAACTGCTGTGTCTTCATCACCCAAAAGAGCTGCCTGCTGAGAAAAATCCATGTCCTGCATAAACGACATGCTGCGCTTCAAAGCTAACAGCCGTTCCTAGAATCAGAAAGGACAGAGCGGCAGGGACTTAACCTTTCCCTCATAGCCAAGATGCTATGATAATGGGATGGGATGGGGATGGCCATGGCCTTATTTTGTTCTTAATGCCTCGTTTCCAATGGCGATGCAACATGATTTGGTCATGGTAGCATGGCATCAAAATTTCTGCAGCCCAACTATCAAGAGAGAAACAAACAAACAAAAAAAACCTGCATATGCAAAGACAACTGTCTATTTTACACAAAACTTACCATAACTGCAACACACGCGTGCCCACACACACACGCACACACACACAGAGCAGCTCACCAAAATAACTTCATTTTACAAATCAACAACTGTGAGTAAAAAATGCGTTTGCACGCACACATCTGTGAAACCCCCGAAACCTCCCCTACACCCATCACCTTCAAAAAATAAAAGCTTTCTTGTTTATGCAGAAATAAAACTTAAATGAGATCTTGTTTTCAAAGCTTCAGCCAGAAGCAATATTTTACACTTGGGTTTTCTAAATGTGGATCGTAATTGCTTCCACTGAGGCCAGTGGAAGAAGCTCCTACAGACTTCAGTGGTGCAGATAAGGTTGAGAAATAAGGGTGTGGTATAACAAGAATGTTATCAAGCCCTTAAATAGAGCAGTGCTAACAGGCAGTACTATAATTAATCACAGATGGATGAAGTAAAAAGAAACATAATTAATAACAATGATAAATGTAAGTATGACCAAAAAAAACAAACCCAAAGAGTTTCTGCTTTTTTTTTTTTTTTTTTTTTTAATAGATCTCTTACTTTGCTCATCATCTTAAAGCCTGTGTGTAGTATCTTCTTGGCTAGCTTGTAGTAAACTGTATCTGGTCTGTTGTAAGTCATTGCATTATCACACATCAGTTTAAAATCTGCCTGTAAAATACAAAACAAAAAGAACTGTTAAAATTTCAAACTCCTTTGTTAAATGACTGGAAGATACCATTTCATCATGGCAGCTCTGTGAAGAACACAGTAATATTTTAGCAGCAGGCTCATGGAGTAAATGCAAGCCAACAGGTAGCACAGAATTGCAAAGGTTTGAGCGCTTTTTGCTTCTTCAAGATGCTCGGTATTGTTTGGAATTGGCTTTTTCATTATTTTTTTAAAAAAAAAGAAGGAAAAAAAAGAAAAAAAAAGAAAGGAAAAAAACCCTCCAACTTTTCCCTAAATGCCAAATGTAACATTGCCTCCCTATGCAAACAGACCAAACAGAAGAAATTAATAGGAGGACTGAGGCACCAAGGTAAATACTTTTTGGTAGTTTTCCTTCCTTCTAAATCAGAATAGACTTGACAAATACAATGACATCAGAAATATACAAAGTATCTTACATATACTTTTAATTGTAGTAATTTGACCACTTCTTTGGTTACTTGCACAAAAACAAAAAAAGAAAAGAAAATTTCATAGCATAAGAAACAGCCTTCTAGAGGCTCACTGTACACAAAAAGAACAGAACAGTTATCTGTCATACATAATTTCAAGTAATTTTTACTAATGCAAGTTCCCAAAACAAAGGTGCAACACACTCCACTGTAAACAGAACCAAAAATCTTTGTTGCAAATTGCAAAAGCTTTTTCTAGAATACCTTCTCTCTAGTCACACGCTACTGATCTGTAGAGTAAAGCACAGAAAGCATTACTGGAAGCTCCACGAAACACTGAATTAAAATGACATTATTATATGTCTCTGAAAATTTCTGAAGTTGGCAAATCAATAACCAAGAATCATGCAGTAGTCTTTCCAGGTACTTCATAAATTGGATCCTAACAAATTAAACTGGCATCTGATTTAAGAATATATTTTCTCTCTTAATAATTTTTCAATATTTAAACAATGATTGTTCAAATAATTAGGTTTCATGTATTCTGTAGACACAAATGCAAATGTTTTTTGTGTATAAGCTCACTATATTTGATGATGACTTGATTATATGCAAAAGTGTACACAAAAAGAATGGTATGTTTTCTGAAAAGTCAACCCATGAAGTTTACAGACTAGTGAATAGATTCGCTGAGACAAATATTTTCAAAGGCTACTATTGTGGTTGGACATAGAAGTCTTTCTAAAGACTTCCTCTGGCACCCAATGTTTACAAATAACAACCTTGCCCTACTGAAATCCTGATCAGATTCTGCAAAAAACAAAAAATTGTTTTACTTCCTGTTTCCATACAGGGATGTCAGAACAGTGCTCTCCTAATCATTTAGTAGTTGTCATCAAGCCTGTACTAAGCAAGTAGGTGAACAGTTACAACTGGTAGTCTGGGACTTTCTATGGCATTTAAGCCATCTGCCTTTGCTTAACAAGACCATCATAAAAACAGAAATTGAAAAGGTGACATAGAGGAGGAAACTATGAGCCAAGAAGCACATGAAGAAGTCCATGTGAGCTACCTACCTGGTGATGCCCTTTGAAGTGCTGCAGAAAAGGACAGAGAAGTCTTTTGTTTGCCCAACTTTGAAGTAGATGCTTTTTTTCAGCAGCAAAACTCATGAGTTATCTGCAGCAATTTCCCCATTTCTAAACGCAGCAAACGGTTCTTGCGGATTCTACTCTTAGATTATTTATTGGCTTGTGACTAGCCTCAGCTAGTTATAACAGGTGTATCAGAAATGAAAGGCCCTTTGAGCAGGCCTTGTTTTAGAGGTCAAAAACCTATAAACATCCTTTCTGTATTACACCAAATTACAAAGGCATAAGCAGAATTAGGTACACTCATATATCTAGAAAGGGAGTCCAGCCTCTTTGTCACTGTAAGATGGACAGACTCCTAACAACCATTTATTGCTCCTCAGAGTATCAGCAGAAATAAAGTCCTTCAGGAAAAAAAAGAATCTGTCAGTCTAAACAACACTGTGATTTTCATTTTTTCAGGTTGCTATCCCACCAGTTTCAGTATTTCAAACTTGCTTGCAACTAAATAGAGCCACATAGCTCCCATTCAAACTTTATTTTTAAGTTGCTGAATAAGACAATCCAGCAAGCAAACAGAATTTAGAGACCTGAAGGCATTGCTGACAGCAATGCTATTATGAATCCTTCTTTATTATTTCCCATAAATCTCTACCTTTTTTTTTTGAAAAATAAAACATACATAACAGAATAATCTTTGTCAAATCACCTATAGGAAATATAAGCCATTCTTAGCTCACATTGCTGGACCTTTCAAAAGAAGAAATTAACCCCAAGAAGCAAGCCAATACTCTCTGTCAAGTCTATTGTTACATCAACACCACTCTAGAAAACAGTAATACTGAAGGCAGGTAACAAAACTTCATGAATCAGTTAAAGAAAACTCCTTTCCTTCTAGGAGCTGGCAATACCATGAAAAGAGTTCTTACTGAACTGTCTGCAAAACCACAATGCATCCAATAAAGTATTACAGCAATAGCAATACACAAAATAGCAAAGGCAAGTTACCAATAAAGCTGTCAAGTAACTTTCTGCCAAAAGACCATTCCAAATGAAGTTATATGGAAAACAGGATAATTAAAGATAAAAAACATATAGTTGTTATTGAATCTTATACAAAATGCTACTGTGTATCCAGAGTTTTCCTGCAGACATGTCAAAATTGCCTTTTAATCAATCTAACTAGGTCTAGATTAAAAAAAAAAAAAAAAGTGTTCAAAGAGTTCCAGGTTCTTCAACCATTTAACTTTTTGTGATAGTCTTATGATTTTTGTGTCTAGCCGCATGAATTCCACAGACCTTTAGATTATGTTCTTGGTTTCCACACTAATTTGTAGTAGACTGTAGAAGAATCTGACAAATACACAGCTCCCACAGTGAAAAACAAAGAAACCCATTCTAACACACAGAACATACAAAACTGCTAAGTTTTGAAAAAATGCACATTAAAATAATTAATGTAAGAAAGGCTCCTACAGTTAAAACGAATCTTCAGTTTCTTATGAAAGACTTCTGAAAAAACTAAATCTCTATCAATTCACCTTGAATTCAGTGACTGATTTGTATTCATTTGCTGCAATTTTTTCCTTCATTGTACCAAAATCCATGGGGTGCTTTATTATCATGGAGTATCCAGGAGCAATGGCATCCGTGACTGGAAAAGCAAAAAACCCATGAGGATCTTTCCTAAAAATAAAAACAATACATTTAGATTTATATCAACAAACAAAATGATCATTGCTTTATACCACATTAATGGTATACTTAAAAAGAAAAAACACTCTCAGAAAAGCACTCACATAAAACAGAAGCATATTTGAAAAATTTCCTGATACAGGAGAGAATTTTGAGTACACGTATGTAGACTTTTTGAAAGAGATTCAGCTAGTTCTTGAATTACTTCTTGTTCATGAGGTCCTCTAAAAATAACTACAGTGTTTACTATTTTCAAGTTAGTTCCAAATTCAGCTTATTGCTATGTAATAAAAAAAGAAAATTAAATATTTGGAGGGGGGTGGTGGTTATTAAAAAACATGAGGTACGGGGTTAACATCTTATGGAAAACAACAAAGTAAAAAGCCTCTCCAAATTAAGAGGATTATCAAGTAAGCAAGTATAAACTTGCTTTGTTATCTGACAGAGGACAGAGAATAAAACAAAATTTCATGAGAACAGTTCAATCTTTTAAACCATTAAAATTCATAACTGCTTTTGAATTCCTAAACTAAGGCATTATTTTACAAATTTATAATGACAATGTATCTTCTGCCCAAAACACTTGCCCACCAAAAGCTAGAATTGCATAGCTGGCAATAATTCTCCTCAATTAATCTTTAAAAACTATCAAGTCTGACTTGGTTGCACAGGTTACCAAACACATTACAGTCAGTCTTAGGCACTATTTTCAAACAGAAAATGAGGATAAGAAGTTCTGAAGTAACACATTACATAAAAATACATTAGACACCGTCAACACAGCTGTAGATACAATACGCTTAATACCTTTGAAGTTGGCGAAGGAAGTGTTCCAGTAATTGCTGGATCGGCGTGCTTTCATTTTCAGCTGCAGTTTGAGACAGAAACACAGATAAGTGCAATGAAACAGAATATAGGTATATTTAAAAATATAAATACCAGAGAGAAAAATCTTAACTACCAGTACAGCTTGTACTGATCTGCAGGTCAATGAGACACCGATTTCAAAACAGCAGCACATCAGATTTCTAAGCATACAGTTACTATTTCTGCTCCTTTACTACTTACTGAATTTTAATCACATTAAACTCTAGCAGACATTAAATCAGAGTAATGCTAAGAAAATGTATTAATAAGGTGAAAGTAAGGTGTTATGTATTTTTACAGGAAAAGTGAAACTTGGTTGCTCAAATATTACTGTTGGGAAATCCATATTCTTACAATATGTTATCTATGCAATTTTAATGGTTTCTTTACCATAACACCCACGCAATTAGCTTCTCTGAATCTTTTCAGTCAAAAAGAGTGACAAATAGATGCAGATTTCCTGGCTAGGAAGGTACTGATCACTATTTCACTTCCTGTGCAGATTAAACACTACATATTAATTACCTGTTCCATGTACATACTTCAGAGAATCTGGCTTTTATGTGAAGTTTGAAAAACTAAAGCAGCAGCATGATGAAGAGTTGGAGTTTTAATTCTAGATTTCATCATGGTAATGGAGAGACATTTCCCCCTCAACCAGAAAAGGTAAGGTAATTTATATGCTTTCGAACAACATTTTCCAAGCAGATGAAAACAGAAGCCTTGTCAATACCAAGATGAGGTATTTAGCCTGTCAGTTTTTCAAGGCTTCAGGCTACCCAGAGACATAAACCTTTGACCAGAAAATTTCAGTTACCCCTATTAGGTCACCTTGACAGTTGATGGACAGCATTCCTCAATTTAATGTGCAGTCATAATTAGAAAATTCCTCAATAAATTGATAAAAATAGAGATACTAAAATTAAAACTCCACACAGGTTATAAAAAAAGACCATAACAACAGCTAAACAGTCTTCACAGGATTTTTTCCCTTGAATCGAGCAAAACTTAGTTTCAGTCATTCTGACCATTGTTCTGTAAATGCTGAGGAAATGCTAAGGAGACAGAATTAGTGGAACACTACACACAATAATACTTTAATACTAGCTTTATTCTGCCAAGTAACAGCAGCCAAAGACAGATGTCCTTGGCAAGGTCAGTCACATGAGTACAAACCTATTAAAAGCCAGAAGCAACAAGAGGAATATAGACTTTTCAGATACCAGAAAGTTCTGAACGTTGGAAAAAATAGTCTCTAGATTTCAGCAAATCCTCATGGAAATTTTACATTTTGGTACCTTTGATAAAAGCTTTGTTGTGTGTACTTTTAAGAATACCCAAGATGATTTAATTTTTCACACTGCTCACCTGGCTGAGTTCTGCATGCTCTGACAGGACGATCCGGAGGAGGTTCAACCTCCACTTTTTTCCCAGGATCAAAGTCATCAGTTTCTCCTTCAGTGTCACACTGTTCCTTTTCCCTTTTCCTCTTTTTCTCTTCCTACCACAATAGGAAGAAGACAGATTTTAGAAGAATGTACTTGGAACATGCAATTCCCCATATAAAAAGGTAAGAGAGAGTGATTTTTTTGTTTGGGATATTCATTCTACATCTGAGCCATAATATGCTTTAAACATTAGTGCATACATTTTCACTGTCACTTTTTCAGTTTTCTTCTCTGATTAAAACTAATACTGTTCACCTTTTGCTTCTTTGTATTTAATACACTATTATTCTACCATTAGTTACTGTACTTTTACTGAAAAGAATGTTAAATTCTGAAGCTATTTATATGTAAAATTGCATGATAAGAAGCTACACCAGAGAGAAAAGGAAAATAAGTTACTATTCAGTAAAGATCAGTTTATAGCTCTGCTTTGATCAATGTGTTTTTGTTGTCTGGTGCATTAAACAGGAATCAATAAAGTAAGTGATAATGTAGGAAACCTACAAAAGAACCAGAAGAAATGCTCTGTAACAGTGGTAAATGATCTCTTCCTGAGCTTCAAAGCAAAGGCATGCCTGAGTCATTCCCATAATCTTACAGTCATTATTCATGTTCACACAGAAAAGAAAACCTTCGTTAACCTTGTTAACAACTACAGTTTTGTTACTTATCTATCCGTTAGCTTCTTTTGCATGCACTAAGAATGAAGTTCTGAGGGGAAAAAGAAATATCCAAACACCTCCTCACAGAATTTAGCAAAGGCAAAACAAATAATTGGTTTTGATGCTGCAAGATCTTGTATTAAAAACAATTGTTTTGCTACATTTCAAGTTCCAGCCGTGCTCTTAACTGAAACATTTGAAAATGTTTGTATAAAGAAAATTTTCCACTATCTGCCCTGGATTTAGGAGCTTCTGAATGATCCTACAAGATATATCACTTTCAAGAAATACAAGCCTAGAAAATAAATCAATTTGAAATGACAGATGTTAGCCATACATGCATACAAAGTAACACCAAAAAACTGTCATATAAGAATAGAAAAACTACATGACAGAACAGAATTAAAAAATCCTCTTCAGAGAATTCTCTTCAGGTCAGAGAATCATTAGTACACGAAAGAAACACTATTAAAATGAAATTGTAGGGGTAACTACCGTCAGTGACTTCTTGCTAATTTCAATCTAATTCCTAAAGGTTCAGCACAGACAACTAAGGTAACAACACCATTTGCTACTAACAAAGCCTAGCATGCAGGTTATTCTAAACAAGAGCCAAGGAGATTATTGTACTACAGCATTCAACAGATCACATTTCAGAAAGCTGTTCTGAGTAAACACATAAATTTCAATATCCAACAACTTGTTCTATGTCAGAAACAGAAATGCAATCTAGATTCATTCAAAAAGCTGCAAATACCCTCCTCAAAGGGTAGCAAACCATGTTTCTGACCTGGCTGAAACACAAAACATGTAACTTAAAACCAGAAGTATTCATACCTACAGACAAAGCAAATGGATAAGAAAAGCAAGCAGTTACAAGAAACAAGCTTTTATTTAGTTCAAAAAATCATCACAGTGATCTCTCTTTTAAATGGCAGAAATACACCAACACACACAGAGGCGTCTTCTACATTTGTGAAGTGCTGTCTCCAAACAACAAGCTTCTTGCAATGGTGGTTTTA